AATTTTCGTGATTTTATTAGCTAAATTATGTATATTTATAAGAACTTATTGTATAATGCATTAATTAGTTAAAAAATTTGGTTGCATCTGGTAGAATTTTAGAATTATGGTTTGAGTGAAAAATTTATCTGGTTATGAGTTTTGAAAAAAGTTTTGAATTGAGTTTGAATTGAGTGATGTGACATGATATTTGATTCAAAAATTTACAACTCATAACCAAATACACAATTCAAAATTTTATTCAAAGCTTATAAAAAAATTTAAAAAAAAAATAGAAAATATTTTTTATTTAAAATATTAAAATAATTGGTGCGAAAAAAAAAGAGCATTGTTCCGATCAACCGGCCGGACGTCCGGGAGGATGACTGGGTAGACGTGTTTTCGTAGATGGGTGTGAAATCAATTTTTAAAAACTGTAACCAAACACATGGCTCAAACCAAGGGGTGAAATTGAGTTTGGAAAGCTTAACCAAACACAACCTTAGTATTTCCAATCTTTTACTAATTTTTTTTTATCAAATTTAATTTTAAATTTAAATATAAAATTTAATTTGATATTAATTATTTTAATTCTTTCATTAAGTTTTTGTCAAAATCTTTTTAAAAATTTCACTCTTATCTCAAACTTTCTTTTTCATCAAATTTAAAAAGGAAAATTAGTTAAACATCAATTTCCAACTTTGTGTAGTAGAAGAGATCTAAGATGTTATTTTTATTAGTTAAGGTCCCTCAACATTTTCGCATAGAAAATTTGACTCAAATAAATTTTGTCCAACTTGGAGAAATTTCACTCGACTCAAAGAAATTTCAAAATTTCTTTGGTATTTACAGAGAAATTTTGAAATTTTTCTGTGAAAATTGAAATTTCTTTGAATCGGGGGAAAATTTCTCTAAGTCAAACAAAATTTTTCTAAGTCGAATTTTCTCTGTACAAATGTTGAGGGACCTTAACTACTATGAAAATATTGTGTCAGAGAAATTTTGAAATTTTTCTGTGAAAATTGAAATTTCTTTGAATCGGGGGAAAATTTCTCTAAGTCAAACAAAATTTTTCTAAGTCGAATGTTCTCTGTACAAATGTTGAGGGACCTTAACTACTATGAAAATATTGTGCCATTTATCTTATAAAATCTTAATATGAGGAACTTTAAAAAAAAAAATCCAATTTAAAATTTTTAAAAAAATCTCTAATTATTTATTTTTTTAAATTTTCATCTAATAAGAATTTGATAAATTGTCAATTTAATGAAAATAAATAAATCTCCTTGATTTAATGAACATTAGATGGAAGAATCATATATGATTTTTTTAGCACCTTTCCATCAAATATTTTTAATGAAAAAAAAAAATAGTGAATGACTGGAGATACTCTTTTTTTTTTCTTTTTAGACAAAATATTAGAGATACTCTTAGGTTGTGTTTTGAGTAGTGATTTAAAAAAATAAAAGAGTAAATTACAAATACACCCCTTGAGGTTTGCTTAAAATATGAATTGCTTCATGTGACTTGGAAAATTACATATGCCTCCCTGTCAAAATTTTTTATTTAACAGAATTAATTGAAAAAATGAAATTTCTAACTGTTCACCTATATAATAATAAAATTATCTGAATTATTAATTGAAATAAAATTTTAACATTATTAAAAACTAGTACTCCCTCCGTCCCAAAATATTAGTCTCTTATTCCATTTTTCATTGTCCCAAAATATTAGTCCCTCTTCAAAAATCAAGTACAAAAATAATACAAATTTCCTATTTTGTCCTTCTTTTAAATTAATAAACAATATAAAAAGTACAATTATGACATTGATATTCCCAAAAAATGTACTATCAAAAGGATAATTTTGGAAAATTAACTTTTTTCAAATGCAATAATTGTACTACCAAAAAAAGTTGGATTCCCCAAAAGGGACCATTATTTTGGGACGGAGGGAGTAATTAACTTGATGATTTATTAATAAAATGACCTATTTGTTATGAAATTAAAAATCATAGGGGACATAATGTAATTTCTAGAACTACAGGGGTAATTTGTAATTTAAGTAAACCCCAAGGGTCTGTTTGTAATTTATCCAAAATAAAAAGAAAAATGTGTATAAAATATATGTGAAGTATAATTATATTTTATTCATATTTCACATACATTTTCTTATTTTATTTTCAAATCATTAGATAAATCTATACTCCAAACATAACATTAGAACAACTAAAAAAAACACAATATTTTATGTGTAATCATATTTTATAGAACGATACTATATATATATATATAAATTCTCAAATGAAAGTCAAACCACATGTAGGACGATGTGAGAGTCTTGTTATTTATAAAGTAAAAATGAAATTTATGGTAAAAATACCGCACTTACCAACTCTGGTTTTAATAGGACACTTGTAATTTTTCAGAAAAATAATTAGTAACTTTAATTTGAGTTTGTCCGAAAACTCAAATTTGTACTTGCCGATTGATCGTCCGAACGACCAGTGAAACACTTGTCTACTTTGATTGTCACCTTCTTACTGAACGACCAGCTGGACAACCAACAAACCAAAATTCGGACGATTTCAAGCAAAATCAGATTCGAACTATCAATTAGTGCTGAATTTTTCATGAGTATGTACTGTGCTTATTTTATTTAATGCATCTTCTGGTTATTAGTTTGTAACATTAATTTAAATTAATGAACATTTACACACAGTTTTAATTTATGAATTTATATTCCATTAAGTTATAACTAAGATTTTTTAGACTTTCAAGTCCCATTAAAATTTTAATAATCGAAATTACCCTTCAAATAATGATTGTTTATCATTTATGATTATCTATAAAGAAATAATATAGTGATTTGACATTTATTTTGATTTTTAAAATTTTAAAACATCAACTTTCAAATTGAAAAAATGAAAAAAAATTATGTGTAAAAAAAAAAAAACTAATCAGTGTGTTTGGTTTAAATTTTTGAAAATTGAGTTTTATATTTTTTATTTTTTTGTGAATCATTTTAAAATTTTAAGCATTTTTTAAAATTTTTTTTAAATGTATCTTACTTAGATGTATCTAAATGGTAAAATATTTATGAAAAATATTTTTAAAAATTAATAAATATATAAAAATATATTGAATTTTGAGTATTATCACCAATTGACTTCTCAAATGTATTTTTTTTAAATGTATGTAATGTAGAAAGCTAGGGTTTGAGCTATATTGAGTATTATCACCAATTGACTTCTCAAATATATTGTTTTTTAAAAGATTCATATGATAAGGGCTGGAGTAGTTCGTAAAATGTAGAGGGGTGACTACAACCGGACATGATAGATGAAGGCTTTGGAGTGGGCTCAATAAAATAATATATTTTTTATATTACATAATATTTAATGTGATATTTTTTTTTATTTAATTATAAATAAAAATTAATTTTTTGAAAATTAAAATATAAAAGGTCAAAGTAAAAAATAAAAAAAATAAAAAAACTTCAAAAGTAATGATTAAAAAATAGCTAAACATAAGGTGGAGAAAGTGTAATTTACCCGAACTCATCCGTTCTGCGATATATTTTGTTACACTCCATAGATGTAAGGAGAGAAAAAATAATAATAATAATAATTATAATATCTTATCATTATATTTAGATGAATAAAAGGTAAGAAAATATAATTTTTGACAAATTTTATTTAGATAGAGTAATACAATGTTTTATTTTATTTTATCAAAATTACTTTTCATATTAATAAATTATTTTTTTTTGATAAAAATAAGGGTAAAACACCAATAAATCTTAAAATATGATCTTGTGAAATATTTAGTCCTCTATTTTCTCATGAACTCAAAGATTCCATTAAAATGAAAATTATACAAAAGGATAATCACTTACATATTTAGGTTTAATTTTTTTATGGATAAAACTGGGTTTCTCTAAATGTAAAATTACACATTTTGGCAACCCGCACTGTAGAGGATTTGGATTTTCCCTCGTAGAACAAATCTCACATTACCAATAAAAATGTGACAGTCCAATAACGTAATACTCCAATATAACACTCCAATGTAACACATTAAAAAATTCAGTGGTACACTTTTCCCAAACGTAACAACGTAACACTTCAAAAAAACTCATTAGTGTACTTTTTTAAAACGTAACATTTCAGTATAACACAAAAAAATCTCCGTAGTATACTTTTCTCGAACATAATACTCCAATCAATATAATCCCAAACATAACACTCCAATGTAACACACACAAAATTCAAAAAAATTCCTTAATATAATTTTTCCAAACGTGACACCCATAACTTGAAATTATACATTTGCTCAAAGTTTAATAAGGAATTTTTATACTATTTTTTGAATAGTTTGAAGAATCCCACAAACTTTTAGAATGGTTTGAATAATTGCATATCATTTTTTTTAGTGTTATATTGGAGTGTTACGTTTAGAAAAAATATATCAATAATTTTTTTTTTGTTACATTAGAGTGTTATATTAAAAAAAAATTAAATGTTATATTAAAATGTTATGTTTAAAAAAAATACACAATTACATTAAATAATATTATAATTGTAATGATTCCTTATATAGGTTTTCGATGTACTTTTAAAACTTTTGATCTCAATTTCTCTCTCTACCCTTCAGTACTATGCTTTGCCAAGCACCCTGCTGGTTATACTTACATGTGTGTTTATAAAGTTATCAACTAATTCCGTGATTCCCGTGCTTTGTATCCCATCAATCAAGACTCTCTTTCTATATATATATGTAGCAATTTCTTACTCTTAACATTCTTACGCACATAGAGGTCCATTGCAGTTCTGTGAGTTTTGCTCTGTTTTTTTTCATCAAAAGTATACTTTTAAGTCTTCCTTTCTTCATTCACAAGAAAACAAGCCATGGAGGTTGAAAATCGAATTCAGATTAAAAAACCCATCAAGCGAAGAATCATTGACTTTCTATATATATATATATAGCATTTTCTTATCAAAACTCTTTCCTTGGCGACAGCATACACACGGGAAATAATCACACACAGACACACAATCTCTCTACTCTCTCTTTCTATATATATATATATATATATATGTAGCAATTTCTTACTCTTAACATTCTTACGCACAAAAGTATACTTGTAGCAATTTCTGTGAGTATTGCTCTGTTTTTTTTCAACAAAAGTATACTTGTAAGTCTTCCTTTCTTCATTCACAAGAAAACAAGCCATGGAGGTTGAAAATCGAATTCAGATTAAAAAACCCATCAAGCGAAGAATCATTGACAACCACAAATCGCGGAGCAGAGTGATGTACAAGAAGAGAAAAGACTGTATCATCAAGAAAACAATGGAGCTCTCGATATTGTGCGACATCAATGCCTTCACCATCTGTTTTGGGCCCAACAATGAGGTTGAGACATGGCCTGAAAACCCAGCCCACGTCAAAACTCTCATCAACGCGTACAAGAATAACCGCCGAGGCAAACAACTGGTTCAAGCACAACAGCAACAACCCTCTGATCATCATCGCGGCTTAGATGATAAAATCAGGGGTTTATTGAGTTGGAATGATGGTTGGCTTTGTGGGTTGTCAAGAGAACAGTTGATGAGTTTATGGAAATTGATGAAATTGAAATTACAGGAATTAGCAAGAAGAATTGAGTTGTTGATGTTCAGTAAGATGCACTACCAGTACCAACCATTAATCGAGCCACCGATGTTCGTGCCGCTTTGGCCATTGAATTGCTATGGAGTTCCTGGAAGTAGTGGTGGTGATGGTGGTGGTGAGTTGAGTGTGCCATTGACATGGGAGTTTAATGAAACATTGGAGGAGACTACTCTTAATGCCATGAACAATTGTGATGTTAATCAGATGTGTCTGCAATTTTCTTCGCCTCTCAATGAACTTTTGTTTGCATCAATGTATACGATGAATCCGTTGCAAATCACTGAGCCTCAGTTGGGTGAAGAAACAATCAGCAGCAGTGACACTGACTCTCAAGTCAATCCCAGTCTCAATGTGAACATGGATTGGATTATTTAGTTGGTTTATTTACTAGCTTTTTTTTTTCGTTCAAATTATGTTTTAGTAGAGTCTGAATTTTTTTTTGGGTAAGGAGCTCTTTTTAAGCGAGCTTTCTTAGAGCTTCTCTAATTGTTCATCAAATTTAAGTAAAAATTTAATGAAAAATTTAACCTGGTATGATGCACTTCAATTGTTCTCAACAATTTTGTCAGCTGTCCGACATAGAGTAAATTTTGATCAAAATCTAATCTTTCACCCAGTTGTTTCCCCAATTATCCATTTGGTTGGTCGTTCACCAATGGTCTATTTTGAAATATGATGCAAGGTTAAATGTTTTCTCGATTTGTTGAAAAATTTAACACTTCTTTTATTTGATATCATTTTGATGATAGGATTGGAGTATCCTTTTTATTAAATTTAAATTTGATTAAAAAAAAAAGAGTAAATGTTAAAGACAATCTTAAAGTTATGTATCAAATTTATTTATTTATTTAAATTTTTTGAGAAAACAGAAGATAAAAACATTTATATCCAAAAAGGAATTATACATTGTTCAGCCTTCTACTAAGGCTGCCTGAGCCAAAACATGAGCCATTGTTACGTGAAGTAAGGGACTTTAGTAATACAAACATAATCTGACTTAACACAAGTCCAGCAATATATTTGCTATGTCCATTCCATTTTGCTACTATTCTGCATTTTCTGGATAACCAATAGAGAGTCGGGATTTTAAAATAGAAAATTAATAAATAAAAATATGTGGTCACGTCATCGATCCGTGTTTTCAGAGTGGTGATTTAAAGTACTAAATTTGAAACTCTAAAAACACTACTAATGAGGTGGCAATGTAAAGAAAAAAAAATAAAACAAAACAAAGGCCAAATTATCACATCAGTGGTGGGATTCACATGATACCACATCATTAGTGGTGTATTAGTGATGCTAAATTAATGAAATGAAGCATTTTTCGTGTTTTTAACACTTTCTCGCTCGATCTCTCGGTCTCTTGTTTTTATTTATTTTTGGGTGTCTCTCTCGTTTTGTGTTTGTTCTCTTGCTTGGGTGTATACGCCACTAACACGTGTCGTTATCTTGATAATCTTGTCACACGTGTTATTCGTTGGGTGCTTTCGAATATGAGAAAACAAATTCTATACTAATTAGTAAAAACTGTTTACATTCTGTATGAAAAATTGTGCATTTACTATTTTTTAAATATTTAAGTTGGCAAAAACACTTATTAAACTGATTTCTTTAAATTTTATTATTGTATAATGCATTAATTAGTTAAAAAACTAGGCCTCTGTTTGGCAAGATGGTTTTCAGGCTTTTTTGGCTATTTTAGCCACAAAAAACAAAATAGGCTATTTTAGCCATAACAAACAAAACATCACATCCAACCCATAATCATTACATTCTTCTCTCACAAAAAAAGCCAAAAAAGCCAAAAAGCCAAAAAGCCTTTCCCAAACCAAGCTTTTTAGCCCAGGCTAAAATAGCCAAAAAAACTAAAAAGCTAAAAAGCCAACCCACTTCCCAAACGGAGGCTAGGTTGTGTTTGGTAGAATTTTAAAATTATGATTTGAGAATAAAATTATATTTTGAGTTTGTGAGTTTTTGAATTATGATTTTAGTGTGAAAAATTTGTTTGGTTATAAGTTTTGAAAAGAGTTTTGAATTGAGTTTGAATTGAGTAATGTGACATATGATATTTGATTCAAAAATTTATAATTTATAACCAAACACACAATCCAAAATTTTATTCAAAGCTTATTAAAAAAATTTTAAAAAAAATAGAAAATATCTTTTATTTAAAATATTAAAATAATTGGTGCCAAAAAAAAAAGCCGAACCCTGTTTCGGTCAATCGGCCGGATGTCCGGGTAGACGTGTTTTCATAGATGGGCGTGAAATCAATTTTTAAAAACTGTAACCAAACACATGGCTCAAACCAAGGGGTGAAATTGAGTTTGGAAAGCTTAACCAAACACAACTTTAGTTTTTCCAATCTTTTACTAATTTTTTTTTATCAAATTTAATTTTAAATTTAAATATAAAATTTAATTTGATGTTAATTATTTTAATTCTTTCATTAAGTTTTTGTCAAAATCTTTTTAAAAATTCCACTCTTATCTCAAACTTTCTTTTTCATCAAATTTAAAAAGGAAAATTAGTTAAATTTTGTCCGACTCACAAAAATTTCACTCGACTCAAAGAAATTTCAAAATTTCTTTGGAATTCACAGAGAAATTTTGAAATTCTTCTGTGAAATTAGATAAATTTCTTTGTGAAAATTGAAATTTCTTTGAGTCGGGACAAAATTTCTCTGAGTCAGACAAAATTTCTCTAAGTCGAATTTTCTCTGTACAAATGTTGAGGAACCTTAACTACTATGAAAGTATTGTATGTCATTTATCTTATAAAGTCTTAATATGAGGAACTTTAAAAAAAAAATCCCCAATTTAAAATTTTTTAAAAAATATCTAATTATTTATTTTTTAAAATTTTCATCTAATAAGAATTTGATAAATTATCAATTTAATGAAAATAAATAAATCTCCTTGATTTAATGAACATTAGATGGAAGAATCATATATGATTTTTTCAGCACCTTTCCATCAAATATTTTTAATGAAAAAAAAAATGGTGAATGACTGGAGATACTCTTTTCTTTTCTTTTTAAACAAAATATTAGAGATACTCTTAGGTTGTGTTTTGAGTAATGATTTAAAAAAATAAAAGGGTAAATTACAAATACATCATCTGAAATTTGCTTAAAATATGAATTGCCTTTTGTGATTTGAAAAATTACAAATACCTTCCTGTCAAAATATTTTATTTAACAGAATTAATTGAAAAAATGAAATTTTTAATTATTTACTTATACAATAATAAAATTATCTGAACTATTAATTGAAATAAAATTTTAACATTATTAAAAACTAGTAATTAACTTGATGATTTATTAATAAAATGACCTATTTGTTATGAAATTAGAAATCTTAGGGGACAATATAATTTCTAGAACTACAGGGGGTAATTTGTAATTTAAGTAAATCTCAAGAGGTGTGTTTGTAATTTATCCAAAATAAAAGGAAAAATGTGTATAAAATATATGTGAATTATAATTATATTTTATTCATATTTCACATATATTTTCTTATTTTATTTTCAAATCATTATATAAATCTATACTCCAAACATAACATTAGAACAACTCAAAAAATACAATATTTATGTGTAATCATATTTTATAGAACGATACTATATATATATATATATATATAAACTCTCAAATGAAAGTCAAACCACATATAGGACGATGTGAGAGTCTTGTTATCTATAATGTAAAAATGAAATTTATGGTAAAAATACCACACTTACCAACTCTGGTTTTAATAGGACACTTGTAATTTTTCAGAAAAATAATTAGTAACTTTAATTTGAGTTTGTCCAAAAACTCAAATTTGTACTTGCCGGTCGATCGCCTGAACGGCCAAAAAAACATTTGTTTACTGTGATTGTCACTTTTTACTGAACGACCAGCTAAACAATCGACAAACCAAAATTCAGACGATTTCAAGCAAAATCAGATTCAGACTATCAATTAGTGCTGAATTTTTCATGAGTATGTACTGTGCTTATTTTACTTAATCCATCTTCCGGTTATTAGTTTGTAACATTAATTTAAATTAATGAACATTTACACACAAGTTCTAATTTATGAATTTATATTCTATTAAGTTATAACTAAGATTTTTTGGACCTTCAAGTCTCATTAAAATTTTAACAGTCAAAATTGCCCTTTAAATAATGATTGTTTATCATTTATGATTATCTATAAAGGAATAATATGGTGATTTGACATTTATTTTGATTTTCAAAATTTTAAAACATCAACTTTTAAATTGAAAAAATGAAAAAAAATTATGTGCACAAAAAAAAAAAAAAAAACTCAATTTTTGAAACCAAACACATTGATTAGTTTTTTTTTTTTTTTTTGTGAATCATTTTAAAATTTTAAGCATTTTTTTTTAATTTTTTAAATGTATCTTACTTAAATGTATCTGAATAGTAAAATATAATGAAAAATATTTTAAAAAATTAATAAATATATAAAAATATTCTGAATTTTGAGTATTATCACCAATTGAATTTTCAAATGTTTTTTTTTTAAAAAGTATGTAATGTAGAAAGCTAGGGTTTGAGCTGTATCTAGTATTATCACCAATTGACTTCTCAAATGTATTGTTTTTTAAAAGATTCATATAATAAGGGCTGGAGTAGTTAGTAAAATGTAGGGGGTGACAACAACCGGACATGATAGATAAAGGCTTTGGAGTGGGCTTAATAAAATAATATATTTTTTTATAATACATGATATTCAATGTGATATTTTTATCTAATTATGAATAAAAATTAATTTTTAAAAAATTAAAATATCAAAAGTCAAAGTAAAAATTAAAAAAAAAAAAAACTTCAAAAGTAATGATTGAAAAATAGCTAAACATAAGGTGGAGAAAGTGTAATTTACCCGAACTCATCAGTTTGGCGATATACTTTGTTACACTCCGTTTAGATCATGATGTAAGGTGAGAAAAAAAAAAAATTAATAATAATTATAATATCTCATCATTATATTTAGATGAATAAAAGATAAGAAAATATAATTTTTGACAAATTTTATTTAGATAGAGTAATAAAGTGTTTTATTTTATTTTATCAAAATAATTTTTCATATTAATAAATTTTTTTTTTGATAAAAATAAGGGTGAAACACCAATAAATCATAAAATATGATCTTGTGAAATATTTAGTCTATTTTTTCTTATGAACCCAAAAGTCCCATTAAAATGAAAATTACACAAAAGGGTAATCATTTACATGTTTAGGTTTAATTTTTTATGGATAAAACTGGGTTTCTCTAAATATAAAATTACACATTTTGGCAATCTACACTATAGAGGATTTGGATTTTCCCTCATAGAACAAATCTCACATTACGAATAAAAATGTGACACTCCAATAACGTAATTTGGGAGAAAAACAAAACACAGCAAACCCTACCTTCTTCC